TTCCTCGGAGGAGCTTTATATGTCTTTATTCCCATTTTGTGCTCTTTGCCCTCCTGCCTCCCGTGGCGTGTTCAGAAGCTTGTTGGAGAACAGTAGGCCACAGACATGGAGTGATTTATTCTTCTGCACTTAGACACTTTCTCTTTTCTTCCTTCCCAGTCCTTTTCAGTTCTCTTCCTAGACAGCAGTCTGCAATGGGGAAATGCTGAGTGCTTTGCAATGGTTGCTATGACTAGCGGGAACCATTCTCTGCCATCACCTCTTAAATTTATCCTGGTTCTCATATGCAGTATCCTGGGTTTTACCATTAGTAGAGAAAAACTTAAATATATGTCCAGGACTACCCTAAAGCCCAAAGAAAAACAAGCCAATGTCTGTTATTTTGAAGACCCGAGGAAGAGGGAAAGGGTTGATTCCTCATATCAGCCAGCATGGGGCCTCATGAAGCTGAGAATCAACTAACGTTTTTTTCATAAGAGTGCACAACAACGTAGACTGGAAAATCACATCTTTTAACTATTGTGGGAAATCAGTAGATCAAATTGAGCTACTTCATAATTTTGCTGCAGGCTGTATGCAGGGCTGTTCACTCCCAACAATAGGAAGCGTGTGTTGTAGCCAAGAGCTCTCATATATTCCCCTGCCAATGGCTCGTATTAAATTGAGGGATTCAAAACAAGGAGGAGAAAGTACGCGTCTCATCAGTAACATGCCTCATCAGCTCTCTCTTCCCAGAAGGCAGCCAGGCTGACTCCACCGAGACAGCAAGGCCCAAACCAGAGAATAGAATGCCCCAACTATTTCACAGCTACTCACACAGAAATGCTTCTGCATGATACCCGCCTCTCCTCGGAGTCTGGCTAGTTTGACCTGTAAAGCAGCAGAAAAAAAAAGTTATTACAAAATTCAAGCCTGAACACGAATTTCCACTGAAAGAAGATGAAAGCAAAATGTGAAGTTACAGAGAGAGGCACTTTGGTAAATCTCTCCACAACACATGCCTCTAAGAAGCTCATAAATGGTAAATCCATTACCCTAAAACCTCGAAGGACCAAGAACAGTGAGCATCGGGGCAAAGCATGACCTGTCACCCAGGTATAACAGAACATCTGATGGAAAAAAAAACAAAGTCTCTGTCACTTATTGCCCTGCTGGCAAGGTGGCCTGATGGTTCTCCTGTCCCCAAAACACTGAGGTGGGGGATCAATGTCAGGAAGTCATTTCCAAGCAGCAAGGATGGGAGACTGCCCACGTGCTGCATCCTACGCACCAGGCGAGAAGGAAAAACAAAGAGGCCATGAACAGCTGCTTGGTGGGGCACCAGAGAACCTCAGGGAGCTCAAAGGAGCATTCTGAGGGAAAGGGGGATGGTGCTTGGCAGAAGGTGACCTCCCCTCCTCTTCCAAGAAAACTGATATGGACTAATGGTGATCTCTGATCTTTGCACAGCCCTGGCAAAATGGCCAGAACTTCACTGCTCTTATTGGAGAGAGAAAGTGAAAGGTGTGTTTTGCTGATCAAAATCTCTCTGGATCACGAGATTGGGTGAGGTCACCCATATCTATCACGGCCTCACCAGCAGGACCCGCCCTGGAGCAGGAGCTGGCTGGGCTGCTTTGAAATGCTCTCTTATCAGTGGAGCACAATTTAAAGCCTGGAAACACAATAACTTTTGTTAGTGATTAACATTGTTAGCGCTCTGAGCAAAGAAGCCCATTTCCTCTTCCAAGCTTCTTGAGAACACAAATAAACGAAGTCTCCTTTCCGTGGTGGCGAGGCTTTATTCTCCTTTCACTGAAGGCAAGGCTGTTTTTTTTTGGCATTCCCTTATAGCTGAACTCTGAAGTCCATCTGGTTCCTTACCAGGAGGAGAGGCCAGCTCTTACCTCGGGCTGCTAACAAGATATGTGAAGATAAAATCCTTGAAATAAAATAACTTTAAAGGCCAGGACTTTCCACTATCCCTCTGAATTGATGTAAAATCCACCAGCTTGCTCCCACCCAGACCAAACCTGAAGCCCCATGTATTGTACCTGGGGGAGAGCAGGGGACACAAAGCCTGACATGCTGCAGGAAGCCCGTGATAATGCAAAATCCAAGCTCTCACCTGTCCATGTCTAGCACCGTGACCACCACATGGCCCTCTAAAGCCCTCAGAACCTGCATGTCACCACGTTGCTGCCCGTGGCGAGTGCAGAACAGGGCACAGCCTGGGGTGGTGGCACCACGAGCCTCCCAAAAAGACTCACAGGAGATGTGGCTCAGGATGTCCTGCTCCCCCTGCGCTGGGTGCCATTGGAGGTCTGGCTCCAAAGACATTGGGAGGCAAAAAACGTCTCCAAAGATATTCCCAACAAACCCCGGAGAGCAAAACCATAAGCGTCACTTTAGATTTTAAATCTCATTATTGGTTTAAAAAGAAAAAGAGAGGTAATTTTATTACTTTTATGGTATGTTTTCCATTATTTGCATAATTGTTTAATGCTAATAAGACAATTAGCAATTCTTACAGCTTAATAATTACCCAGCACTGACTGGCCTATTGTAGCTTAATGAATTTTTTAATTGTTGCTGGGGGTCTTGACGTTCTTTCGCCCAGTATCTTCTTCAGTTAGAGATGCTGTTCACGCAAACAGGGCAAGGCCAAAGGCAAGACAACACCAGCTACACAGGACAGGCAGATTATTATTATTAAGATCTCTTGAATTTAAAAGGGAGAGAAAATGCAAGCTCTATTTTCTGCTGCTTGAGGGCCACATTATCTAAATACAGGGAGAGGCAAGGCAGAGGTTTAAAAATCAGCCCACCTCAGGCAAATGCTACCTCTACAGAAGCCAGGCTAAGTAGCTGGTGTGGGGCTGGCTTCGACATACCCAAAGCTAACAAAAGTCTTAACATTTTTAGCTTTTAGTGAATAACTCCCTGACTTCAGCGTGAATCATACTGTCCTGAACCGCGGTATGGCCAGAGGGAAGTTAATTGAGGTCAGGCAGGGCCAGAATTGCATTTGTCACTGACCGAGGTCACAGATGGAATTGGCTGAAGAGGATGGCAGGGCCCTGGGGAGCAGTCTCTGCGTAGACTCCACGGCCCCCAATTTACACATACATGACAAGTAATGGAGATGGAGCTCTCCTCTCCCCTTTTTGTGGGAGGCTTCTCGCATGGTGCTGCCTGCAAAACGAGGCTTTTCTCTCTCTTTCCTTCCTCATTTCCACCAGCAAAACGTCGGTGCCTCTGCCCATGAAAAGCAGTTTGTTAGCAGTTACCTGGAGAGCCTCAACCTCGCTCTGCCTTTCTGCTGCCGAGAGCAGCTTGGGCAGATCTGCCCCTGAGGTCAGTGCTGGGCCTCTTCCAGTTCCCCAATGTCACGCACGTCCCCCAGGCAGCTGCCACTGAGTCAGGAGCGGGCAGGAACCTCCTCCCTTAGTCATGCCTTGCTCACAGCCATGCCAGCACCAATGCACGCACCAGTGCTGCTGCCACAGCAGCCTCCGTCCAGCCCAGCCACTGGAGAAATTCCTGACTGCCACTGAGTGCCCCAAAGGCTGGGAGCTTGGACCTAGCACTCTTGTTTCTGCAAGCAGGGCACGTGCTGTGCGACGTGGTGTGCGTGTGGCGAGGCCTCACCTGGAGCGAGCAACATGGACTGGAGATGAGAGGCACTGGATCTGGAAGGACACTGTTGTTCCCATGTCTCTTTCCCTTCCTGGAGGAGCCCTGGAGCTGCTCAGCTCCTCCTTTGCTCCTCAGCCCTCTTCCACCAGACGAAAAGCATTGAACACATTCCCCAGCCCCACTTAGACACCGCCAGAGACCAGCTGTGGCAGCCCACACCTCTCCTAGGAAGCTCTGCCAGTGGCAGGGGAGCATCCAAGCACCAATTTTGCACCACTCTGGAAGGAAGCCTCTGGCACACACACACAGACACTCACGGGGCCCCCACGGGCTCAGCCAGGAACAACCCTGCAAGCCTCCTCCCCGCTCCTCTCCTGAGCGAGTCAGCAGCTCTCCTCCAAGACAGAGGACGCGGCCCCGGCCCCCAGGAGGAGCCCGGCAGCCCTGTGAAGGATAACGCTGTCAGCTCAGCGGGGATGGGAGGAGAGAAGGTGCTCAGCCAGGCGGAGATGAAAGTTACAGCGTGCTGATTAAAAGGCGGGCGAGTGTCAGGGCATCAGTAATGCCGTCGCTAACCGTTGCCGATCTGTCACAGCTGCCTCTGCAGACAGGAGGGATGGGCTCCCGCGGCACTCCTGCCCTGAGCTGTCTCTGCACATCCAGACACCCCTCGGCAGCCCTCTTCTCAGCCGTGAGCTGGTTTCAGTGGTGTGCTCCAAGCCAGGGCAGCGCGCTCAGCTCCACTGCGTTCAAGCGGAGGATGGTGGCATGACAAATGCATAGGGGAAGCCTTCTATGTAGCAGAAAACGGAGAAATGACAAATCTTGTATTTAGAGATCTATGGAAATGCCCTGCCTCTGAGCAACTTCCACCCACTCTGTAGCCTCTAATCAGTTTCCCGTCTCCCAGAAGATGGTTCCTGTTGATGATAGAGATGCTGTTTCCACCTCCTCCAACCCACCTGTTTTCTCCCTGCTCTGCAAAGCCTGGCCATGCTGCAGTGAGCGGTGGTTAAATAGTTCTGCCACCACACAAGCAGCCACTGCTCGCCCAAACCAGGCTTCCTGGAGCTAGTCTGCTTGGATGAGATCAGCCAGATATCACAGAATTTCCCGTTTATCCATAAATTACCGTTCCCCTTTACCCATAAATGTTTCTTGTTGCAGCCCTGGAGTGGGATTTTGGAAAGCCCTGTCCCCAGGGAGACTTTTCACCAAAGGACCACTACCTTGTTTGACTCTCTCTTTGCTGTGATAACAACCGTCTTTGGACATTTTCCTTTCTCCTTGGTTCAAAGTCCTGTGAAAAGCCCTTTCCCAGCCAATCCCACATTTCCAGTGGCTCTGGGCCCAGAGCAGCACTGAGAGAAACACCAACCTGCTCTGACAAACTGAGCAGTGTTTTAATGATGTCTGATAAGGGACTAAGACAAGAGGAGTCAGTAATCTCACTGGGAACCCTTTAGACAGGCGTTAATCCTGCTGTCACTGAGCCCCTCAGGAAAACCATTTCACTGACTTGATCTTCTTCAGCTGTTCCTCCACATAATTTATATCTAGCTAATTGCCACAGTAGTGGCTTCGGATGTGAAGCAGATGCTGCTGAGGAAAAAAGCATGTTGCATCCTTAAGTACTAGCTCTAATCTCTTTAGTTAGAGGCAAGGCTACTTGCAGTTGTTGGGAGGTTATCTCCCCCTTTTCTTCCCGAGCTCCGTGAAGCCAGCTAGTCATTCATGTTTTGACACATTAACCAAAGTGTTCAGTTGTAGCATTTCTTGCTTGCAAGAACACACAATATTTCTCCAGCCCGCCCTCCATGAGCTCACAACTGTCCCTGCCACCAGTAAGGAGACTTATTTACAACTGTCCATAAAATTCCTCCAGGATCTTTATCTTTAGGGTATTAGATTCTCTACTAGCAAGTGGAGTGTGAGACAAAAAGAGACAAACGATGTGAAAACAAAACAATGAGTAGATTAAGACTGTAGAATGAGCATCTACAGCAGTAATTTCTCTGGAGCAGAGGGAAGGAGACACCTTCTCTTCTGTCCTCAAATGACAGCTGACAAGCAAACCATCACACCTCTCAGCAGATAAGGACCAGAAAAAGCAGGGTCTAGGAGAAGAATCACAGGAGAAACTGGCAGATACCAAGGAGGAAATCCAGCTGCTTGTTCAAAGACCCCACTGTGACAAGGGCCAGATGCTGGGATGTTTGCAGATGTACCAAGAAGCTTGTTTTGTTTTTAAAGAAAAGATTTCTAAGAAACCTCTTAACAGTTGTCTAGTCAGCAGCTGGTGCTACCAAGACCCTGTCACTAAATTCATCTCCTGTATGCCACTGATCCTTCTAAAGCCCCTCCAGCATAAAGGCCAAAATGGCTCTGCACATATTTGGCCACAGACAGGTTGTCCACAGAAGCTTTGTTTAGAATAGCAAGAGGATGAAGAACAGGGAAAGAGGGATGTCAAGCTACACTCAAGGCAGCATAGAGCAGAGAAAGGCACAGTGGAAACAAAGATCATTTTAATTGGGAAAAAAAAATACCCACTCTCCCCCTGAAACACAAAATGGTCTCTTCCCTTGCACGTGTCCACGTTTCCTCCAACACAGACTTCAAATGCAAGGGCCAGTGCTCCCTTCTGCTCTCCTAAGCAGCTCTGCCCTCTTAGAGAAAAAAATAAAAGGAGTGACAGCCACTGCTCTAAGAACCCATGACAGAACTGGTCCCTGTTTGGCACAATATTCAGGAGATTTTTCTCCCACAGTAATGGCATCTTAGCCAGACAGATCTGTCCTTGCCCGTTCTGATCTTCGGTCAGCACGTTCCCCCTTCCAGCAGTCTGGCCTGCTGCATCATCTGTGATCCTCCAGCACGTGGGATGAAATAAAGTGCCTTCTTACAGGGCCTCAATGCAGCTGATGAGTCCAGTTAAATTCATTCCTCTGGAAGCAGAGCTCCCAGAACCACGTGTTCATATTGTTGCCTCCATGTGCAGAACCTTCAAGGCCTCTGAAATTTGAGAGCTGGTGTCGATCTGGCCATACATCCCCACCAGGAAAGCCCTGTGCAGTAACACTGCAGCGTGCTCTGTGAAAGGGAGAGACAGCGTGAGGACTGAGAGCTCCAACATATGGCAACAGCAATCCAGCAGTGAACACCTGGATGAACGTTTGTAGCCGTGCAAAAAGTCCTCTCTTTCTGTAAAAACGGGGCATAATCCACCATCTAACAGCCCTGTGGGTACCTGATTATGTGAGGGATCACAACTCAGAGAGGAAAACCCCAAGGGAGCAAATCTGTTCATGGAAGCCTTCCTTGTCCCTTTGGCAAACCTCCCCTGTGACGCTCCCAAGCACGAGAGAACGCAGATGCCACCGTACCTTGGCAAAGAAGGGTATATTCAGGCAGGTTCCTCAACGCTGTCTGCACCACCTCAAAGTCTCGGCTGCCAAGGCAGTACATGAAGGTAGGAAGGAAGTCTGCAGCAATGCTGGGATTAAAACATCACAATGTCAGCACAGACCAGATCGCCATCAGCAGGCACGGAGCGGGCAGCCAGTGCCCGTCAGGGACTCACAGTAGCCAAGTCCCTGCAGTCCTCACCTGGGGTTGTTCTGAATGGAGCGCAAAGCTAGGCTGAAGGCCAGATTTCGGCAGGTCTCCTCTGATGAGCTCATCAGCTTCTGTAGGTTTGTCTGAGAGAAGATGCAAAAATAAGGATTACAAGGCCATCCAGGGATCAAAACTGTGCAGACTTGAGTACTGCCCCTTCAGCACCCACCCAGCCCTACATACATCCAGCAGGTACTAGCTGAGATAGGAAATCCCTCTGTGTGATAAGGATCATGCTGTTTTAAATGTTCTAGAACACCTTCCTGTAAACTTATGGCACATGGGACAGCTGAAATTTATTTGTATTTCAGTATTTATTTATTTATTTATTTATTTTTAAGCAGAGCTGTTCTGCTCTCTTCTTGCCCCATTACTGGGAAGGGGACAGAAGATTACTTCTTCCTCTGATATACAGAAAAGTTAAAATGGATGATGATGTATCCAGCATGCAACAGAGAGAAGACAGTAGGGAAGTAAATATTGCCTGCTGTCAGAAAGCCCAACTGAAGTTGCAGCATCTTCAGAGAAATTTAACAACCTCCCAAAAGGCAGGGAAAGGATAGCACTTAGGCTGGCCATGCAACACAGACTGTGGTGAAAAGAATCTTCTATTTCTAGTGGCAGTTTGAGACACCATACTCACAGAAAAAAAGGAGAGAATTTCTGGCCTCCGCCTGGACATCTCATCAATGTCTGTCAGCACCTCCAAAATGTCTGGTGGAAGACACAGATTGAGAGGGGTGACTGAAATTTACTGATCCAGCAAAGGAGCTATAAATCCACGTCTTCAATCAGTCAATTTTTGCTACCTGCACACACAGCTAGAGTAATAAAGGCAGTTCTTCAAAAAGGATGAGAGCAAACTGCCCAAGGTGGGGCCACCAAGCACTGTCGTGACACGGGCAGGGGAAGGAGTGGTGTGGGGTGTGAGGTTTCAATTCCAGAGTACCTTCTGTAACTGACAGGTCTTTAAGAAAGCCTCTTTTAAAAACAGTGCCCAGACAGGATTTCTTCCCCCTGTTTCTAGGAAAACTGTCACCCCAATAACACAACTTAAGTCTGATATGACCACTGGACACATGTGATTTCAGAAGACCTTTGGAGAAAAAGCGTGTTCTTCCCACGTACCAGGTTAATGTGATTTTCTTTCAGGAAGATCATCCAAGAAGTTTGTTAGTAACTCCATTTCTAATCAGTCTGGTATTTTTATAGCATAAAATAAGACGCTCCTATCAGCACTCCTGAGCTGGGACACCATCAGTGCTGGCTGAACATGAACTGTAGCATGCCCTGAATTACTCATATTACCTCCCAGAGTACCTTCAAGATCCCTGAAAAGCTCCAAAGCAGAGGCAGTCGCAGTATTGCCACGCTAAATGACAACAGCATCATGGGAAGCCTCTGTCACACAATCACAGAAGGTTACGGACGAGTCCATCCAAAACAAAACCCAAGCTTAACTGCTGGAGACTCCCAAACAAGACAAAGAGGAAACTGGCCTGCAGCTGTCATTTAATAACAGGGCTGGCACCTGTCTGCACGTGCCTTATGTTCTTGTGCAGCTCTGCAGGTCTTCACTTACCCTCAACTGTTTGGCCTCGAGACAGCCTCTTCATATATGGGGCCATTTCAGTCGGTGTAAGAGGAGTGAAGAGAGACACGTTGACAAGGGGGAGAGAGCCAGCTGCTGCTTCTTCTGGGGCAGAGAGAGAACAGTGACTTCTATTAGTTTTAGCAGGGAGACAGGTCCAGTGTTCCCTTGACCAGCAATACTTTAACAGACTTCCTGGCTCTCGGCCTCCAGCCCCACTGCACCTTCTGGTACCTCTGCTGATGCGAAGAGAGCAAACCTTCCTGACCTGTCTTAATACTGGAGAGTTTTCCCATTTAACTTTAAAGAGAAGAGTGGAGAAGTCAAGGTAACTTTAGGGTTTCCTGACAGGTTGACCCTGAAGTGAGTCTGAGCAAGGTAAAATCCACAGGAAAGAAATTCACCAAGAGCTATTCCACAGCAGTAGTAATACCAGTGACAGGGAAAACAATCTATCACCTGTCCCAGATACTGGCTTCAAGCTGTTGAGCATACAAGTGCTGTTCTCCATTCTAAATACCTTTTCACTGGAAGTAGGGACTTGATCCTTGTGGGTCCCTTCCAATTTAGAATATTCTGTGATTCCATGAAAAGCATCTGCACTTCAAAACGTACTGCATTTTCACTAGCTGGAATAGCTTTCCAACACTCAGACTCACCATCCTTCTCCTCCTCAGAGCCCCTGTCCAAGATGCCACTCTTAGTGGGCAGACTCAGCCCAGCCAGGAGGGACTTCAACATCGCGAGGTCACTGTTGTCTGATGACAGGTCACTAGAGGAACAGATGGCACATTTAACTTTAAATAGCAATAAAGGTGTGTAGACAACTAACAGCACATGTACATACATTGAAATAGGGTAGAAACAAATTTCTTAGAAGCAGAAACAAGATTTCTCCTTTCAGCATAATAAACTCAAACTCATTTGTACCTACATCTGCAGGTGGGATCCTGCAGCCACTGCTCAGGGAACAGCCCCTCCTACTGGCTCTCTGGAAATGTCTGCAGGGCACCACAGTGCCTTACAGGGGCATTAAGGCATTATGTGAGTTGGAATTGTCACCTGACTTCTTTGGGCTTAGCTTTCATCTATAAAAAGGGAGACTGCTCATCTTAAGACATTTAAGTGACCTGAGGATGAAGCAGTGCCACATTAACAGCTATTGTTACATCCTCTTGCTGTCTCCTGTCCAATTATCTCACGGCAGCCTGCCTGGCCAAGCCCTCCATTGGGCTAACCGTGGTAAGGAAGCTTACTGGAGTGGATCGGAGTGCTTCTGCAAGAAGGAAACAGATGCTTGAGCATTGCATGTGATGTACTTCTGGATAAACTGGACAAACTTGCTGATGAAAGCAGCCAGGTGCCGTGAGGATTTCCTGTAGTTCTGAGAAAGGGTAGGGAAGATGAGAGTTAACCACAAAACAGCAGTGATGCACTGCCCCATGCTGCACCTCTGGGCTTCAAGGATTAGATTCCTGATCTCTGGCCTCCCCTTTAAGCTCCCCCCAGTACTTGATACACATTTGAGCTCTAAGTTATGCAAAGGCTCTCCCTCTAGTGGCTGGCAGCCCACACACGGATACAGAGCAGGAACTTTTCCTACCAACAGCAGCCGGATGAAGGACAGCAGACAGTCCCATAGTGCCGCCTGGTGCTCGTTCTGGAAGACCTGTGGCTGAAGCAGCTCCAGGATCCCCAGGATGTGGATGAAGAAGGTCAAGTGGTTCTGTTGCCTGAACTCCTGGAAATTGAGGTGAACACGGCCATGCAGCAGAGCTGCAATCATTGGCAAGTGCCTGAAACACCAAACAGAACAACACCCAGCTCTAGCCTCTTCCTAGACACAGTTACAGGTTGCTACACCTCAGTTCTTGTTAGCATCCCTCATCCCCTCCCAGGGTTCTGGGTTTAATCCCTGTTATCCATGGAATCAGCAAGCACCATTTCCAATTTCTGCTGCTTTTCTCTTAACTTTCACACATGAATGCAGATCCCATCACAACCATCATGATTACTCCAAACTCACTCCCCTTCTAGGGCAACGGTGGATGCTTTTCAGTGAACCCAGCCACACAGAGGGTGAAAGGGGAGAGTGGTACCTAAGAAGTAGGATAGGATGAGCCACAGCTAGCTTCCTGCAGGCCATGTTGGCATCCCACACGCGGCTTTCTGACGACTTGGAGTCACTGGTGTCTGCAAGGAGGTTAATGAATCTGTGAACCAGGGCATCGAGCTAGAAAGAAAAGTAGTGAGTAAACAGTTAAGTTGAAAGCAAAAGCAAGCCCCTGGCTCTTCAGCAGTGTTTCCCAAATACATTCCAACTACAGATGAGGTTAACAGAAATTATTTTCAGCTAGAACCTGTGAGCAGATGCAGCGTTCCAGCTGGCACAGGATCTGAAGTCCACAGTTCCTATAGACATCAAAGCAGGATCAGACGCCTGCACACTTGTGCTTTACAGAAGCCTTTGGCACACAGAAATTTATATAAGTAGAGCTTCAAGTTATTTTATAGTCAGACACTGCAAAATAAACTACACCTGAACTCCCTGCTCCTGAGAGTGCAGGCAGGGAAGGGGCAACTGAAGAGCAAGGTAAAGAAACCAAAATGACCCAGCCAGTATTTGACAGTCCTCTCCTTTTAGTCATGGTAGGATTCAATCTGGGTGCACAGCTGGAGAGGGGCTTTCCCGTGTCTCTAAATTTACCTTGCAAGTGCTGCTGTCCCTGGCTCCTTCACTGCTCAGAAGCACCTCAGGCATAGACACAAGTTGCTCAGGTAGTTGCAGGTACATCTGAAGCAGAAGGTCCTGGCAGCATTTTCCCACAGAGCTGAAGAAAAAAGGGAGATGTCACCCTCTGGTTACTGCTTTAGTTCCACCAGAAAACATCCCAGACCCATCAGATTCATAACAACCTTCTTGCATTGGCAAAAATCTTGTGTAAGAGTGCAGCTACCACTAATCTGAATCAGTGTTTTTTCAGTCTGAATGAGTGTTTTTTCAGTCTGTTCTTTTAACTACTTTCAAGTCATGCACAGTCCACAGGGATCCAACATGCAATCTACACAGATCTACACCACTACGGTATTTCCAATGCTGGAAAAAAGTTACATCAAGCATTTTATCCTGTATTCCTGAACGCAAAAGTGCCCTGCAATTTCACTTTTAAGGTCACCTTCCTGGTTCCAGTAGCACTTAAAATGGCATCTTATTTCCCCCCAAATCTCTGAGAGAGTATTGTGTGTAAGCACTTGTCATATGGGCTCTGGAACACTATTATTAACGAAGATATACTGGCAAGTTTCCTTATTACCTGTCTACCTGTGCCCAAATAACTACAATTAGAGCAGACAGTGCTCTCCATTTGCAACCCCACCTGCTTCCCCACTGCTGGATGCAGCTGGTCAAATACTCTGTTACTTTTTTGATGCTCTCAAGGTCCCCATGAGAACAACTGAGCAACAGAGGCAGTCGAGACTGGATGAGTGTGCAGGAGGCCTCTTCTGTGTTCTGGTATCTGGTTTCTGCTTCAGCCAGGATCAACTCCACCATGCTGATCAACTCTGGTGCTTTTAGGTGGAGCACAAACTCCTCGCGGCGCTTCTGTTATGTGAGACAACACTCAAAATGAATCCCTAGACCCTTAGTCCCTTCTAGTTATGCCTTCCCCACATAAAAAGGAGCATCTCTTACAAGCAGACTTAAGAACTGCTCTGTATCCAGGAAGTCTGAAAGCACATATCCCAGCCCCCCAAAGAAAAACCTCTTTACCCCTCTACTATTTCTGAACTCATTTACTTCCAACCCAGCATGCGTGATGGGACAGAAGCCATAACTGAATCATCAAACCAAAAAAATTCCTCTGTGGAAGAGAGATGCAGTCCCCTACTCTCGGTGCGGTGGGAATTACTCCACACCGGGTTTTATCTTGCTCACGGCTGTAGCCTTTTGACTAGATCTTTAATGGATATTGTGGCAACTCTGCTGGAGCTGCAGAGGAGATGTCAAGTGGGCAAACTTATGTGTGTTCATATGAGCTTTTTGGACCCCAAATTGCCACTGCAATATTTAGCAGAGCAGAGCAGCAAAGCAACCAGCTGAGGTACAGGCAGCAAACTTGGCATGCTGCACCCCTATCACTTCAGCCACCTCTTGGCCATGGAAAGCCAGGCAATGTGAAAGCATCACCTCGCACCCCCTCTGAAGATGAATCTTGGAAGAACTGAGCCACTACCTGAGGAGTTCTTTGGTCCCTTCCCTGCCAGATCCGAGGGATATGAATACAGGCCCACAAGAAATCCAAGGATGCAGTTGGGTCAAACCTGCCAGAAGACAAAAGAAGACAGATTTGCAATTAGAGTCAAAGCAGCCCTCAGGCAGCACACAAACACATGGTATCGTCTCTAAACATCACAAATACTGTGAAGAAAAACATCTGCAAATGTAAAAATAGGATCCATTAAGTCCCAAGAAGGGGTTTGGTTCTGTTCCCAGATTGTGACTAAATATTTCTTGAAGTAAGCACAGCACAGGGTATGCAGCTGAGCAAATGGCATTCGCTAAGAGTACGGTAGCTACAGAATCTTGCACCACAAAGCCAGAAGTCTGTCATAAACATAACCAACTGGTACAAGGAGACCAGTGACCATACTGCCCCAGAATCCAAAACATCCTATCTGTTATCCTGGATTGCAGAAATTAATGAAAGTGTTCGTGAGCAGGAGATCAATAATAAAATAGCAAGAAACAAATACTGCCAGCTTTAGACACACTGCTAGTTAAATCATGGCCTGACTTGCCACCAGTGTTAGTGTTTCCTGGTCTGTAAGTTTAACAAATTTAAACACGGTACTACACTACTGCAGTAGAGCTTCATTATTTGAGAGCAACATATAGGAGCTGAGAGCTGGGGCTGCTCCAGAGATCAGAACTGGGGGCCTGACGCCAGGAAGGGGGATAAAGAGTGGTAACAGAGTTTAGTACAAGCAAAAGATCCAGCAGAGCCTGCCCAGGTACAGAGACTCCCAACAGTTTGCTATCCAAGCAATCTTTCAAACCCCATGTTCATAAAGATTATCAACAAGGGCAATGCTAGATAGATTACCCAGCGATTAGCACTTCCTGTTTAAAACACAGCCAAATCTTTATGTGCTCCTTCCATCAAACAGCAGGTAATATTTATATCAAGGTACACAAATCAGCATGACTGAAATCAGCATCCCTCTCACAAAGCCTTTTTTTGGCTAGGTGACATCTCTTGGCAGACGCACCGTGGAATGCAGCAGCTCTTGTTCTCAGCTTCTGTTTGCTCTCTCAGACATAACGTTTTAAGTTGGGCGATTTGCTTGGCCCAAAAAACAAGACTCACCTCTGCTCCCGGTTTCTGCACAGCAGAAGTCTGATGCATTGGTGCAGAGTGGTCCAGCTGGACTGGTGAGTGAGAAGAGCCAGGAGATATGGACGGAAGGAAGGCACCTGGGATCCTGCCTGGAAGTACGAAACAAGGAAGATTGGTATAAAGAAATCATTACTGTGAGGTGGATGCAGGAGATAGCTTGTATTTTACAGAAGGATGACAATACAAGCAAGCACATAGCAGAGAAGACAACAGATGGATTTAGGATATGAACTGCAAAACTGTCTAAAAGCACACGGCAGTATCCATGAAATTCAGTTTTAGTCTTAGCTTTGGCATAGCACTTCTGGACAGGCTATTTATCTGACTGCAAAAATACCACTGAAAACATAGCTGGCTGATCTATTATGGGACTAGGCTGTGTCTGTCATGCTCTGAAGTCCTGAAAAGAACAGGCCTGAAGAAATATAAAGATCAGATGAAACATGACTTGATCTGATGTACTAGAATCCCCCTCTTAGTCAACCTGTATGGCTTTGGAACATAGCAATGTGGAAAAACAAAGAATTCCCTTGCCCTGTTTCCAGGTGCAGATCAACACCCCAGAAATGCCGTTTCAGCACAGAAGTCCCTCTGCCCACCAACTCTTACCTTGTTCCAGGAGAACAGTAGCTTCTGCTGGAGATCAGGGCAGCTGCTTATCACCTCTGGGTCCAACATCTCCAGCCAGTCATTCAGAAGGCCAGAGGAGGGCCCCAGCCAAGCGGCTTCAGTGCTGAGGAGAAAACGCCTGTATCAGTGGTGATGCCATTGAAACCAGGCCTACCAGTGAGTTCCCAACATCACCCAGACTCACCTGCAACTGTCCAGCTCCTTCTTCACTGGTGTCTCTTCTTTGTCCTGGAGCAACAAGGAGCTCACCACTGCAACTGGTTTCATGGCAGGAAATCTGGCAGTGGTCTCAACAGTAGCTGAGAAGAGGACCGTCAGGAGCTCCTCCAAGTATGGCGAGTGAGTTTCAATCAGACCTTGAAGGGCTGTAAGAGGCAGAAATGTGTCAATAGCTACAAGATATGGTGAAAGCTATGGAACATCGTAAGGGTATCACAAAGGCAATGAATTTCCCAGAGCATGGCTCAGTAAGGAGGATGGAAGCCATTTGTATCTTGGAACAGTAGGCTTCTATTTCTCACGGGATTACTGGAAACCAGCAGTCTGCTGAAGAACTTAATCCCAGACACAGGCCACAGTTTATAAACCCACACACCAGTGCAGGGGAAGGAGGGGATACAAGACAGGACCAAGTTCAGATCAGTTTGCATTTTCTGATCCAGGAAGAAGGCAGCTTCCCACTGCCTACACACGAAGCACTCCCCTGAAGGGCTGAAGTCCAGCCTGCTGCAGCAGTGGGGAAGTAGAGAGGACAGACACACCTTTGCTGATGAGCTCCGGCTCCACGTTACACTTCTCTCCTGATTTCAGCGTTGCAATGATGGCACGTACTGTGGAGCTGATCAAGTCAGGGTCACGACGGAAAGTCAGAGCTTCTGTGAGGTGCAAGAAGCCACCTCGAACTGCAAAGAAATTACAATGTTGGCATCACAGGGACAAGCCACATCAGGCTTCTCTTCTACAGATGCACCAAGTGGTTGCAGGGCACAACTAATACACACACATCTACTATGTTCTACTATCATTTTACTCCTGCTGTAACCCTTGACAGCTTTTCTGCATGTTGCAGAGACATATGGCTTAAGAAAATATAACCACAAACCCATTTTCATGCCTAAGCTCTCAGTCTCCTCTCTACAGATGGCAGATGACAGTAACCCTACAAGTCTTGATGTGACCTTGTTTCAGAAGCATTCTTGTGCGCTCATCTTCCAGGACAACAGCAAGCATGGAATACCTGGCCTGAGCAATTGGAATTTCTCCCTGAGATCCACTCTGCTTGGTGAGATGCTATTAGGTGTCTACTACAAATCCCTGTAGCCAAATTACTTGTTTGCCTCCTCATGGAGCTTTATAGCACAGTACAAAAACAATTTCTCCCCCTGTTCACTACTAATCATACCTCTACAGCCCACCCACTTTCTGCTCTGGGTGCAGTTTCATTTCTTTCCCTTTCTTGTCCCACTTGGTCTACTCTGACTCCCACAACCTGCCCAATGCCAGTACCGTCACTGATCCTGTGCCTTGAGGAGTACTGCACAGCAAAGGCCTTCAACTGAGCACGGAGAGGCCCATCTTCCACCGCGGGGTTCTCCAACCACTGCAGCATCTGCATGAGGACTTTGAAGAAGAGTGAGGAGAAGGCAGTGTCTTGTGGCATACAGCGCTGGGGAGAGCAGCAAAAGAGACTTGCTTATACACACTTCAATCACAGAGCAAAGACAGCAGGAGAGGCAGACAGTGACACGTACTGCCAAGAATACACAGAGCACACCTACTCTGTTGGACCACAGCTCATAGGTATCAAGGCAGCAGCCTTTGATGTACAAAGCAGAAAACTCCATCACACCCAAAATACCTCTCCAAGCATAACTAAGGGCAACTTTGTGCCTTCCTCCACCATGATGAAAAGAATGAGATATTTCATTGGTTAACTCTCAGCCTGCTCCAAAGCTCCCTAAGGAATTACAGACCTCTACTCTCAAATTGTCTGCAAATGCCTTGGTTTGCGAGACATGTTCATGCTGCAAAACAGCACAAATTGGAACTTCCAAAACCAAGAGACCCAGAGCAGCCAACCCACAGTGCCACAGAGTTACCAGATTGGTTAATGTACACCTAACCCTGCACACAAGCTCTCAGCACTGCTAGACTAACGAGGCCAGCCTGTATCCATGTGTCCATGGGACAGCTTGAGTCCCTCTGTACCACGCTCCCCAGGCTGTACGTCCAGCACTACACAGGTAGAGGGTCTGCGCACAGCAGAGTGGATGCACTGCAGATTTTCCTTTCCTCCTCACCCCTCTTTGTTCAATATGCTGCTCACCTGATACTGGTACAGCTGGCGCATCAGCGGGCAGGAGATGAAGTGGTTGCGATGCATTGCCATCACCAGCGCCCCGCTATGCGGTGAGTTTATCAGCGCAGCTACTGCCTGGAGGAGTCGCGCGGTGATCCCGGTCACTGGCGTGTTCCCCTGGCGGATACGAGCCAGTTCCTGCCCCAGGGCCTGCTGCAACGCCAGGGCAAGCGGGCGCAGGTTTGAGTTCTGCCACCGTGGGTCTGGATTTAGTGGGAAGAGCTGGAAGGATACAAAGCAGAGCACATTTATGAGAAAACAAATGAAAGGACTTGCTATACCATACACATCCCTGAGGCAGAGGATTGATTTACCTCGTACAATCATACTGACTGTGGACTAACCAGAACCTTCAAAGAGCTTTTTCAATTTTTTAGTGCCTGGTACAGGAAAAGGCACAGCATCTATGCAACACCAATATGACTGTCAACACTGACACTGCGGGGGATCACCACACTGCCCAAACACAGGCAACCAACTTGGCCAATTAACTCCCTGTAGGTTTGTCCTGAAGTCAATAGAGAGAGGGAGGCTCTGCTAGCAGACATGCCAGGGTACAAAAGCTGTTTACATATAGCTTTGCTGCCAAGGCCCTGTGAGCATTTCACAAATCCTCCATGCACTGCAGAGAAAAAAGGCACTATACACAGAACAAACAATGTGCAGAGATGACAACAAGCTAGTAAGCACTGACAGCATTAGGCATGATCAAAAGCCACATTATGTTCAAATTACAAGAAAAAAATCTGTCCAGTATCAACTCCACCAGGCTGTAATGACGCAGCCTTATTTTATGCAGCTTTTTCTTACTTGCTGTCTGCAAACGCTGAAGAAAGAACAGGGCAAAAAGATGCAAGTATAAGGGATATGTTTTTTGCAAAGGTGCTGCAGGGAAGCAGTTAAGAGACAATCAGCTTGAGGTTACACCAGTACCTGTAGAAAGATGCCTGCTAGGTCATCTTCTGGGCCCAGAACCCGAACCTGGCTTAAAGTCCGGATCCGGCTCTGGCCTTGACTGTTCTCAGGGCTAGATTTTGATCTTGCAGTCTCAGCACTGTCTGTAATAATAACAAAATAAAGAAAAATGCTGTTATGCTGACAAACATTTGGAAGCCTAGCACTGGATCACCTTCAGCTTTAATGTCTCTGAGGAATTCATTCAGAATCCTTTTCCCTCAAGGCCAAGCAAGACCACCTTTTCCATACCTCTCAGAACAAATCACTATAGTAAACTCCAAGAATACCAGAATTTCTCCCCTTAACAGAAGTGAAAAACTCTAGGAAGAACTAGTGTCTAGTTGTAGCTTGCAAATGTATTGCAACACAACTGCTTCTGAAAACAGTTCTTCCTAGTCCAAATGTCTTTCCCCTGTTGCCGTTGAGAGGAAGAAGACTGATGTTCAGAAATTTAGGCAACGTTGGGCTGGTAAGATTACCTCGGCGGGCTGGTAAGGAGGCTGTGAGCAGCGAGTGGAAGGTCTGGCCTCCTGTCGCTCCTCTTTCATGCTGAACCTCCACAAGGTGAGCCATGTAGTCTGAAAAAAGACAAAATAGAAACAAGTTGTCTCACCCTCTTTAGTAAAGAAGTACAGAATTGGCTGCTGTCAGTGTAGCTACCACAGTGAAGAGAATTTGTTGTTACTATGAACTTTGTAAACATGTAGCAAGTCAGCCCTATTTCTTTTACAAATTAGCCTCCAGATTATCTCTAGACTCTTTACAATCCCATCCAGAAAAATCCTTCTCTACTTCAAGAAATACAGCCAAGAGTCATCTAGACAAGCACCAGGGAAAGACAACAGGCTGCAAAAGCAGAGTTTGCAGAAGTAGTTTGGATTTTTTCCAGGAAGTCACAGGATGTGACTGTAAGAAAAATTAAAATGAGTAATCTTATATGGAGCTCTTACTCTTGTCCATGATGTTCTGCTCCAGTGTCTGTGGGTCATGAGATACCGCCTGATCCAGGTACTGCAGAAGTTTGCTCATGCTGGAAACTGGGATTCCAAAGGACTGAACAAAGAGAAGTAGCTGCTGTGGCTCCAGGTCCTGCAAAGCTGAAATACACAAAGATACAAAGAGCTGAAAAACACCAAGTCCTGAGACCACCAAATTGCTTATACAGGGTCATTTTTATCACCTGGTATTTGTACTTCTGGCTGGACCAAGTGGCACATTCATGACAGGGACGCAGAGAGCCTAAAGCCAGAAGTCTGACAGCTGCCTACTATGTTTTCACTGCTCTGCAAATCATTACCTTCTTATTGCATCTTTCAGTTAATTCACTCGCTGACTAATTTGATCTTCCGTTTAATTTGATCAAAACCTCAGGAACCCAATCATCCATATTAAAAAATAACTTCCACCCTATCTGTTAATGGCTCCAGGCAGGAATTATTGAATAATTCAATCACTGGCTATAGAGAGCTGTCATTTAATTAGTAAGAAAGGGACAAAGCTCTGAACACCAAGAAGACAGACAGCACTGACAAGCTGTGCAAGGATACAAGTAACTACAGATATAGCTCACATCCTTCAGCCACTGCTCTCCACATTGCAAGCATGCTATGTCCTATGGAAGCAGTGCTTTGTCTTTGATCGTGTAGCTTAATTTAATCTGAACTGTTGTAATAAAGATGCCATCCAATTCACACTCCTGTATTTCCTTTAAATACACAGAAAGCACAGTAGTCATACAGACTCTCCCATGCTTTAAAAGTAAGTGACACTGCTTATAAACGCCACTGAGATTCAGCACTTGGATCAGAGTGAGAGGACCTGCCTTCAACACTGCAGTAAGGAGCTCTGTCATAGGCACTAAACTCCTCCTTCAGCCTCAGCTTTCACTGAGTTCTGCTCTTAATGCAGTGGGGATTAACCTGTGTGATAGTTCAGCAAGGCTGTAGTCATTCTCAAACCCATGGTACATGGGCTACAAATCATGGCTGAGGAGGGAATAAACATTGGGACAACCCCCAACAGAACCCAGAACCAACTCATATTCTGCGTATCTGTTTGACTCCCTAAAGGACACAGTGAAGAATCTATTGAACGCTCAGATTGCAACTGTCACAAAATCCAGAGACAATGCCTTTTAAATCCCAGCTCTCTGTTCAGCTGCAGGGTCTGCAGTGACTGATTGCCCCGCCAAAGGCATTCAAGTAGGACAGTTGGGCACACAGAAGGCTTGAGCAGGGAAGACTCTCCCTTTCCTACCGGAGGGTCTGAAAGGCCAAACATCCCACAGGCTCACCTGCATCCACAAGACGTGGAACCTCGGAGCGGATCATACGCAGCTTTAGCCAGTCAGGAAGCAGCAAAGCCTCCTCTGAGGTGTCAACCAGAAAAGCAGTAGGAAGAGGCTTTTTCTCCGGGAACCATATATCCAATAACGTGTAAAAATCACCATCCCCTGCTTAAGAGCAGACAGAAAAATCTCTTATGTTCAGAAGCACTTCAAACATTCTACACTTCTGTACAAATCAATGCACCAGAATACCTTCTTGCTCAAAGGCTAGAAACAACTTGGGAATAAATACTACCAAATGGAAGCATGATCTGTGAATCTGAGTGCCCAGTTCTCACCCTACAATAACCCTCTGCATCCTTTTTGTTCAGCAGGGGGGACACACCACCATTGTAATATTTCCTGCTGTCTGCACAAGGCAGCCTGCAAATGCTTCACTCCGTGCAGCACTATTCTGACATTCCTACAGCTACAAGCAAATTTTGCAAGGGAGAAGGCTGTAAGCAGAATTAACAACAGCCTAATTCATTATGCAGATAGAGAAAGGCTCTCTGTCCAGTCCACAGACCCTTGAACACATCTGAGCATACTTCACTAACCTTGAGGTGGCCCTAGTGTCAGCAGGATAACCATGGCATGAACCACGAGGATGTGCATAGTGGCTGTTTCACCACTAGTCCAGCGAAGGAACACTTGATCCTGGGACTCTGACTGGAAAAAAGCAAAGCAGAAGAAAACCAGATGAACAATGGTGGGGAAAGAACAAAAAGTGAGATCTGCGAGAAGCAGGTGAAAGGACAATATGAGAATGGACAGGTTTGGTCTGGTCAGACTTTGACCAAGCCCCAGTATCTCCAACAGTGGAAAAAGAAGATACAAAAGGAAAAGAAAATGCTTTCTATGTGTACATGCACACTTGGCTCTGATACTATGCCAAGTCCCAGTTATTTTCAGATCAAGGATCCTTGAACTAGACATGGTTTCTACATACTGAGTAACCCACAATGGGCATCTCTTGTGTTAAACTCATCCTTTCTTCTTCTACCTGCTTAAGAAAGGCAGAGAGGCACTCACCCAGCTGTACACTTCCTCGCCTTCCTTACTCTGGCGCATGCGTTTGATGTAGCGAGAGAAGATGGAGAGGAGAGCTACAAGCACCGCATCCGACTCAGCGCAGTACGAGAGCTTGGAGAAGAGGTGAGACATGATGGTAGAGCGCTCCACTATGAGCCGGGCCACATCCTGAAAAGGAAAAATTTCCATGGGATCTTTACTAAGCAACGTACACGAGTCCTCCTGCCTTATTCTGCCACATCTTCCAGTTTCCATCACCAGCCCAGATAACACTGGAGACCACCACGTGGAGTCAAGAGTGAAACTGTCAAATCAGGAAGAATTCAAGTGCTTTGCATGCATCTTGTGATACCTCACAGCATCACCAGTTGTAGTACAGCTGCATTCTGATGCATCCCATTACAAAAGGGAGCATTTAGCAGTATTTATGAAGTAAAAAACACATTCCCCTGAAGAAACGGTATTATTATTTAACAATCTCCATATACTTAAGCAGACCTCTGCAGGCAGAAAGAGCCTGTGAGCCTCTAGATCCATGCAACTGAATCTCAAAGACTGCTACAACGGATGTTGGTCAGTGAACTTAAAAGCAATGAAAAGCGCACCCAAGAGTGACGATGCATACAAGCCAAACATCCAAAATCACCAAAGCCTTAAAAAAAAGAATCAGAAATCCAATTTCAGTTACAGAAGAATGCATATCCCACCACTAAGGTTCCTGGCCTCCCACTGTCACCCAATGTATGTGACTGCAGGTTTAGCACCTGCTTACTTGAGAACCACTACCAGACGGTGGCACTGCCTTCAAGCCACTCTCCACTCTTGCATTCCCCATGCCAGCTGAGATGGGCTGCAGGACTGGAAGTTGTTACTCTCTGATTTTCTGTCTGAATGATATGAAACCAAAGACACAGGTTGCCTTCCAACACATACCCAGAAACATGACCATGACCATCAAATTCACATGCTCCTGAAAACCTCATCTTGATGGTACAGCAAGTCACCTGTATACCACTGCCATTTGCAAGGAGTTCAACATGTCAGGTCTCCCTCATAACCTCTCTGCCCCTGCACCCTGCCTTCTCACCAGAGCGAGGTCGTTGTGCTGTCCCTGCTCCTCCACTGGGGCGTGCTGGGAGAGGTACACCAGGTAGGCACTGATGGTCTGTGGATCTGTCTCCATGTGAATGGCCTAGAAGGACAATTCCTTTCATCAGGGATCAGGAGGTAATGAAACTAAGCACCAGCAAAACACATTCTTCTGCATGCACATAAACATGTCGACACCACAGCCACATGCAGTCTGCTCAGATTTGTTTTAGCATGAATAAAATAAAGAATAATTTGCCCCACAGCTGGCCCCTTATCCCTTCCAGCAAAAGTTTACCTGTTGCAAGGCAAGAGCTGTTGTTGCTCTAACACTATCAAACAGTGGCAGCCTCGGGAGGTCTCTCAGCAGCCACTGATATCCCTGCAGCAGTTCAGAATCCCCAGAGTCTTCTTCCATGGGGTGATCTTTCTCCTCTCCATCACGCAGCCCCCCCTCTGACAGCACCAAGGACAGGCCCTGCAGAAATCAAAGCCCATGCATATGAAGTCACAGTTGGATCACTCGTTTCATACTAGTAAACAGAACAGAAACAAGCTTCAAATGTCATGGAGTGATGCAAATGCAGCACACACAGCCTACAACAGGTCTCACAACATGTTTGCTTGACAGCTACCATGCTTGAAAGTTTCAATCCTCTTTAAGCACAATCTTTTGAACTCTGCGATTCTGCCTGCCTTGACTATGCTCTAGAGCACCAGGCATTTACTGATTTACATTCCCCACTGGCAACAGCTGCTGCCAATTACTCCTCATACTACATGATGTGCTGAGTCTACACCTGAACTTCACAGGAAACATAGCAGAATCCAGATCTATCTTAAGAAAAGTACTACTTGGCTGTTGAACAGAGAAGGCTTCTGAGCAGCAGGAAGCAGAAACGCATTTGATGGGCCTTGGAGACTGAGATGAGTTACTAAAGACAATTGACATGAAAATTGCACTGCACAGCAGTCATGAGAATCTAAGAATCTGCCCTTAGCTTCTGATAAACCTGAGTCAAGATATTGATTTTACTCACCTTCATGGCTAGGACCCGTGAGGCCACCTGGGAGGAACTGAGGCGTCGCAGGAAATAGTCAAGCACCTCGCAGGTTGTCTGTTCATCTGCTTTGGGACCCAACAGCAAGTCTTGCAATCGTCCAAGCAACTGCCTTTGTTTCTGTTGTCTCTGTGGAACAAGGAGTTGGCCTTTCCAGTGAAATCTAATCCAGGACGCACAGAAAGTAGGTAACAGAACTGATCTCCAAGAGACCACTCACCTGGCGTTTCTTGGCACGCTGCTCTTTACTCTCACCCTCCTCCTCTTCTTCACCTGAGGTCGACTCGTCAGCAGCATCATGAAGCAGGAATTCACAAAGGCACTGCACGGGCAGGACATCCAAGGAGCCCTCACTGGACTGAACCAGATCTGCCAGCCATGGCATTGACTGTGACGAGGCCTAAGAAACAGAAGAAGCCCTGCTTGCTCTGCTCAAGTTTTAGAGATGAGGGATCAGATCCTAACTTAGCCAACCCATCAGGAGAGCCTACCTGTCTCTGAATGATGTTGAGAAGAAAGTCAGGATGACGGCTGCGACAAAGGAGGTGGCCCAAGCGAAGCGACTGGTTCAGGCTTTTCACCTGCTCCAGGACATGCGGCGGAGGTCTGCGTGGGGGCCCCCTGTCATCAAGAAGCAAAACTTATTGTGAAACAAGAAGTTATTCACAGACAAGGCACACTTTCACTCCAATATTGATGAGGACTAATCAGGTCAGCAGCGTGTGACGGCCACATGCAGGTTACAATAGAAGGACGAGGACTAAATGCAACACATATCACACAGGCGACCAAGTTTCAGGGCTCTTCTTGCCTACCCCAACCACCCTATCAGCAGTAGAATTTCTTGACTAGCATTAACTGGCTTTTCCTGATAGCACCAGACTGCAGAAGGCTACTTACTGAGGATCCAGACTTGTCAGCTGGGATAGCAAGAGGCTGCTACTCTCTGTAATTGTTTGTTTTGTGGACGCAGCAGCCAGATGACCCTCAAATGCAAGGATCTCCTGTTTTTCTCTCTGGGAGATTTGAAGCTCGCGGTTAATCATCTCTGTGCGCGTCTCCTCATCCGTCAAGGTACATTGAGGATAGGAATAATTGCTGAGAAAACAAGTCAAAAACAGTTACCTTGTCCAATTCAGAATTTATGAAACAGTCATAATGTCTCTATGGCCTCAGTTCCATTAGGGAACACAGAAAATGCAAGGCAGCTTCCCAACAGAGCCAGGGAGACTCGAGACCTTTTCAGTAAATCGTGCAACAATCACGCTCTGAGTTTTATTCCCATGTTGATAATATTTCTGTTGGGGGAAGGCTTCTTTCCCACTCAAACTATAGTGTTGCTGCCAACCTGCTATTTTACACGTCCCACTAGAAAGGAAGGAGCCAACTGGCACAAACTTCATTCAGAAATACACGCTCGGTGCCCTTATTTGATTTACGGGGGGGATTTAGACAATACTAACTTGGTCATGACCATTTCCATGAGCATCTTTAGAGAGGGGTACTCCTCCCACGCAGCCAGACCTGCAGCACACAAGAGAAGGGTAGTCAGGGATACAGGAAACCAGTCAGGGTTTTATTGAGATCCTATCGCAATCCACAATAGGAAGACACACACACACTTCGGAACATCTTGCCACACTCAGGGCATGGAAACTGTAATCCCAGCCACCTGCTGGTCCAAACCACCCCACTGTGCATTTCTGCACACACAAGGAATGTGCATTACAGCACAGTTAGCTAACAGCAGTTATTTTGCCATCCCAGCATATGACTTCAACACAAGCAACTAGACTTCATCCAGCACCTTTGCCAATTTTTGCAGCAGAACCAGAACCCTGAGAAACATCCACACTCACCGATGTTCTCAGGATTGAACGCAGCCACTACAAGCAGGAGAGGCCAGGCTTTCCAGTACAGGGTAGAAATAGCTAGATTTGGAGGCTGGTACCTGCAAGAGACATCAACAGATACAAGTGATTGGATTTGGTTACCGGAGGGCATCCCAAGCCTACTCTTCTCCTTAGTCACGCACTGAATTCAGTCACACCAGCTCAGTGGTTTTCAGGAAGGAAAAAATGAAAAAGTCTCTCACGGGTGCAACAACAGAGTTCAGTTGAAAAATTCTAAAGCAGAAAGGTCACAGTTCTTGCAGAGGAAATTCCATTCCATGACTCAGAACTTTCTTGCCCTGGAGAAATTTCCACCAGAACATGACTTTGAAAAGGTTTTCCTGGTGATTCTGTTATTAAAAATTCTAATGGGAAATAGCATCCTGAAGTCTGTGAGCTAGTGTTGTTAGTCACGAGGTGAAAGTGAGCTAGGTCACAACAAGGTGAAAATGAGCTAGGTCACACAGCGATTATCTACTTGACAAGCCTTACCCTGGGGGTAGCTGGATATTCTCTGGATGGTGATAAGTGCACAAATTTAAGACAGCATCGATCAGCTGGATTCTCTCTACCCTCAGGACTTCAACATCTGGAAGAGGAGAAAAGACCTAACAAGTTATCGACTGGCCCACCTGGCAAAGTCCTTCAAGAAAAGCAACACTAACAGAAATTCAACTTGAAGCAACTATGCTGTTGTGGTCTTGCTCTCATGATATTCCAGAATTAGAACAACAACAACAATAAAAAACAACACTACATAACTCTTAAAAAGCAGCAATATTTAAAAAAGACTTGATATTTAAAAAAGACTCAAAAACCTTGTGTTTTCAGCTGCAATTTGGTTTAAATTCTTCATAAGGGCATTTTTTTTTTCCCCACAACGAATCCAACCTGCTATCCACATCTTTTTCAAAACTCAAGTGCATTCCTTCAGGTAAGCAGTGAGTCTGCTCAGAACTTCTGGGGCTCTGAAGCTAAAAATCCATTTAAACTTTGTTGCGAGCTTTCTAACTCACTGTATCTTAACTCTGAGTCTGCAAAGGCTCTCTGGAACACGGTAGGAGCTGTCTCAGCCCTGGGTGGTTATAAGTGGACACACAGAAGTTACCACTGGAGCTTTGTGCAGTCTTACCATCGGCTTGCACAGCCGCAGCCCGCTTCACCAAGTGGTCAGCAAGCTCCATGGCATCCGCAGGGCCAAGAGGGAGGTCCCGTGACAAACCGATCACAAGGATCCGCATCAGCGTGTCTTCAAGGATGGGCACCTCAGAGCAGAGGCGAAGGAAGAAGCTGCATGAGACAACAGACATCAATCATGCTTCCCTTGACAGTAGCATGAACATTGCTGAAACCCCCCACAGACCCTACAGCTCATCCGAGCACAAAATAACCCACAGCTTAGTTTACCACCTTTTCCCTGGTCTGCAGCTCCAAGTGCAGCTGCCAGAAACAATTTGTTTGCATTGCTTTGTACCTCTGCACTTCAGCCTGCTGGAGTCCGAGTTCCCTAACATTACACCAGTACAAACCATACAGCGCAGGCCTGCCCTTCTCACAGTTACAGCATTAAGATATAGAGCAGCTTGCCACAGGGAACAAGAATCAAGAATAGAAACTGAGAGAGACTGAAAGAACATTCACCAATTTTAAGGCACTGTAACCAAGGATGAAAAAATCAGGCACAGTTCCAAGCTTTTCCAACAAAGAGCTACATAAAGAGCACCAGAAAACACTAATTCCTTTGCCTCCAGCTACAGCTCTGGTCCACGTTCCCAGCCATGGGTGGAGCACACACTCACTTGCGGTCACTCTCGGGGGGCCAGTTGTCCCATTTGTAGTACGTCTCTGGCTGTTCTGTGAAGAGCACCTTGTGGAGGCTGTCAGGATGAAGAGAACAGCAAATATTACCTGTGTGAAGCTCAGGAACACATTCAGCAGTCCACTCTCCCCATACTCCTTCTAACGCTACCCATTCTACACATGCAAGAGCCTCCTTAGATAAACTAGCCTACTAAAATTGACAATGCTAATCAGAGCCAAGAGGACTATGCGGTATAGACATTGGACTTTTATACCTTCCAGTGAACACACCTCATACACTATTAGTTCTGGCTTGACCTGCCTCAGTAATGCCTTGAACCACACCCTAGGATATGATCTCATCTCCAGAGGCAAGCAGAGAAGACAGTAATATATACGGGGCCCTCAACTATACGGCCTGAAAAAGGATGTCAGGCAGGACAACAAGGGGTCCACAGGAATCATTCCTGACCAGATAACTGGAAACCCCCTATTGAGCCAGAAGGGTGAACCCAAATAATACAAATCAGAAGTTTTCCATTATCATGTATTTCCAGTGAGAGGATGCATTTGTTGGCATTCTTGAAGGGGAGACAGTCCCATTCTGCACCCTTCTAAAACATTATTTCTGCTCCCTGTCTGTTAAGGGGAAGAGAGATCTAACCAAACCCTGGTACATGCATGGGTCTTCCTAACATGTCATAAACAGTTGGGAAACAGACTGGATAGGCACAGCAGATGCCCAAGCTGATGCTCCTACCAGTGCACGTAGTCCTTGGGAGCCAGCTTGCTGATAGATGGAACGACCGTATGAAGCCACCAGACTGCATCGCGTTGGATAGCAGCGATTTGGTTCTGGAAAGAGCGCAGAACTTCTAGGTCTGAAAGACAGGTTACAAACCACTCACATATCACAGCCTCATACAGAGCAAAGCAGGAGAAAGCATCATTTCAAGACCAACAGTAACCAGGGCTCTGAGCATAAACAGTCAGTAAACTGGGGAGAGAAATCAGACAGCCTTTAGCATGCCAGCACTGACAGAACATGCAGATGTGTCAAAGTGAAGCACAACAAAATGCCAAGATGCGCCACAAATGAATTAGGGTTGTGAGAAGACATCCGGGAAGTCACTTCAATGTCCCCCAAAGCTCTGCCCTCTCTGCAATAAGTCATCTATGTTTTCCACAGATATGAAAACTGCCTGTTTCTCCACCCAGCCACACAAATGCCACACCTCCCAACTCTGCTAGTCTCAGAACAGCAAGCAACCCCATGCTTTTACTTAGAACAGAGGTTTATAGGCCCCTTTCTAACTGTGGCTGCAATGTTCCCCCAGTCCCAACACAGCCAGGAAATATTTGACAAGCCGCCCATCTTCAAATGGAATCTAGGCTGTCTGCTTACTTTTTTTCTCTCCTTTGTCCCAGGCAATTCCAGCCTCCTTCACCTGGGCTGTGATACCAAGCATCATGGAGACAGCCAGCAGATCAGTTATGTGGATGACAAACCGCTCCTAAAAAAATAGAAGTGAGTCAAATCAAAGCTGCCTTCTGGAGGAGTGTTTTGTCATCAAAATGGGATGTGGAAAAGCTGCTGTAAACTGCAAGACACGAATACTGAGTTAATCAGATAATAAGAGGTGTGGGGACGGATAAGATCTGCCAGAGAAACAAATATAGAAGAGTCTGGTACACTGCGAGTACCATTCAGCAGGCACACGGGTCAAACAAAGTGGTACCTTGAATTCCATTTCTGCATACTGGGCCTCCTTTCGTTCCTGCATAAGGCCCAGACAGAAGGCCTGGAAGTTGATTTCATGCTTTGTCTGTTTAATGATCTCTCGCAGCAGTGCCCGTGAAGCCCGCAGGTAATCATCCTTAGTAGTCAACAGGTCCTGGAACACCATCGCTAGATACTGAGACCATACAGAAAAAGAAAGCTTTCAGTGCACTGTAAAATATCCACAGCCACAGAACGAAAAGACATGGAAACAACGCTGGTAATATGCTTGTCCTTCAGACCCCAGGGAGCTGTAACATGTTTCTCATGCAGTTTTGTTACCACAGGGCTGGTCACACTGACTGTGGGAGTTAGAAAATGCCCCCACACGTTTATTCCTAACAAGTGTAACAACCTAATTTCAAACCAATATGACGCGGATCCCACAGTTGTCTAAGGGAAGATTTTATTTGAGCCTCAGTTCAGCTAAAACTCTCAAGCAGGGGCCTGGCCCCGCCAGCAGTCACACAAGACACTACACCTACCTTTGGAGCTTGCTCGGAGCTGTGCTGAAGAACAGTGTACAGGATCTGCATGTTATTGGGATTTCTTGCATTTGAAAGCTCATTGAAAATCACAAACTTAATTGTCGTGCCCAGGTTATCCCTGTGTGCATTCAGCAGCTCTCTGCAAGGGAAAAGCAGAGGTATCAGAGCTGAGATTTCATTTCAGCTTTGTTCTGATTTTTCTCTGAAGTATTTAACACAAAAAGTGAAGATGGTGGGGCAGCACCTACATTCAGCAACAACAAAAGATTACTGAGAGATTTCCAGACTAATGAAATTCATTTGAATGTAACACAGAACATCCCACAGCCACACCTGTTATTTAAAAACACTTTGTAGAGACAGAGCCCCATGTACATCATCCGGAGTGCTCTCTTCCCATTACAGACCCAGTCGCTCACTCACCTGACACACAGCATGTAGTGGTTCAGAAGGACTTTTGGCTTGAGACGAATTTTGATCAGGTTAGAGATCACTTCCATGTCCTCTGAGCTGTGGGTGTTACAGTTCATGCAGACTGACATCAGCAAGTCCTGAGCTGGCTTGGTCAACTGCAGAGGAAGAACAGAAATACTGCAACCACCTGCCAGCACAGATCAGAAATGGAACTGGACCTCTGGGCTGGATTCCAGGCCCAGAAAAGGCACGGTTCAGTCTCTGTCCTTACCTTGGGATTCTGCAACCACATCTCCAGCCGCTGCACAGCCATCTGTCGCACCTCTTTGTAGCCACAGGTTGCTGTCAGCAGCCGGAGGAGGTTCCTGGAGACGTTATCCATGGGCTGGCGCCGGTTGAGCTGGTCCCGCAGCATGTCCAGGACGTACTCCTCCACGCTCTCTGCGAGGTCGTCGTACCTGGGCCATACAAACTGTGTTTTATTCACTTCTGCACAAGCTAGCCTGGTCATGCTGCGTCCAGAGATCAGCATCCTTTCTTGTTTGTGATAAAGGTTACAAAAAAACAAAACCAACACCCATTTATTAATTTCTCCTGATGTTCTCTATGTCCTGATTCTCTAGCAGGTGCCACAGGACAGCTATTGCAAAGAGCGAGCTCTCTGCTGCAGCAGTGCAAGCGGGGTGAGCACAGACAGATCTGCCACACGGCTGCACCAGGAGAGGAATGCACTTTACCTGGGCATGAGCTGGCCCTCCTGCTCCGGGCTCATTTTCTCCTCTGCAATCAGCAGCTCGCTCTGACTGTCTTCCTCCTCTGTCATGGAAGGGTGGGGGCTACTCCCTACAAAAGACCAGTGTGCTTTGTGAGACCATTTCTCTTTCCAGAGATCGATCGCTCACACTCGTACACATTCAGCTTCTTTCAAGGGTTCACATCAGCAACACTGGAGGAGGCCACAACTCGTCACCTTCTCACATCACAACACACTCGGGTCCTTCATTCAAGTCTTTTTAACTGCTTGCCCTCAAACATCCACTAGAAATGAAGTGACACTAAAGAAAAGAAAAGCAATACTAGAAACTCAAAGCCGAGTCTACAGGATTTGGCTCCTGTTTCCTAAGCTTATTCTTACCAGCACTAAGGTCCCCACTGCTACGGCCAACTTCGCCATGCAAGAGCATGCTCTTAGGAGGCATCTTGGTGTTAAAAGCTGTTTGGATGTTATCCACAAAGGTCTTGCAGTGAGGGCTGTCCACCCAGATGCGCTCCCCAAGGGAGTCCTCAATGTAAACCTAAAGGAAAAAAAAAGCCACAGAGGACACAAACCGTGCTCAAGCTTTTTTGTACACATTTGTTGCAGGATTATTTGAGTTTCCCAAGTTATTATTTATTTTCAACATGCAACTGTGAACTAGGAAACTAGCATAGCCATGCATAGATGAAAAAACTGTGACCAGATGACTGCAGGCAAATCATATGAGAGCAGAGCAACAAACCACCGCATCCTAACCTCTATGGGCACTCTCCCTCTCCAGCAGGGAATCAGATTAAGCTCTAACAAAGATTTAACCATAACTCCTACCTCCAAGATATAGAAGCTTGCCTTTCAAAACCTTCTAATTTTTAGATCAACAAGAAAACATTAATCCTTGCAGACAAATTATAGAGCACAAAGTCTCTGAGATACTTATGTTAGCAAACACCGTCAATGGCATCCCAGAAAAGAGCAGAGAAAAGCAGACTAGACCACAGCACTTTAACAGCCTGTGGAGGTTTTCCTTGGTGAAAACAAGGACTGCGTTTTCCTTCCCTTGTCCACACAGCATCAGCCCAGTCCCCATTTACTGCCTCCACCATGCTGAGGGATAGATCACAGGACACCCCCTTGCCGTGCAGCAATAATAAATCCTCTGCTCTTATCCTGCCCCCAACACAAGCACTTCCCAACCCTGGCTGGTTTTATACATGTGTTCACCAGTGCCTCAGCCCTGCAGGAGCATCCTGTGTTCAACAACCTTGACAAAGATCTCTGGCCAGTTCTCATCCTCTTCGTAAGCTGCCATGAGAAGGTTGCAGGCCAGGACAGACACAAGGCTGTTCCCTTTGGCTTTGAAATTGATGGAGGCATCTCTTCGGAGCAGGCTGCATAGTGCCTGGAATATTATAAAAAAATACAATAAAATTAAGCAATCTATCAAGAAAGAAATACAAATCTCAGTAATTACCACAGAGCTGTGGTATTTACAAATACACGCTGATTATGTTCTGATATCAGCTGGAGGGCAGCTGCAACTACACTCACAACTGGCAGGAATTTCAGAAACGTACTTCAGAAACACACAGAAAGGTACCTCATAAAGCCCAAGAGTCCCCGCACGGCACAGCCCTCACCTCAATAACCCCTTCGGTGGCAAAGATGTTCGGTTTGATTTTAGCCAGGTACATCAGGCTGAGGTACAGCGTGGTGTCGGGCTTGGCTCTGTTCATTTTCAGCTGCTTCACCGCCCCGCACAGCACCCCCTCGATGCGGTCATCGTTACCTTCTGCCTCTGCTGCCTCGATCTCCTCCAGCAGCACCGTGGGGCCAACTGCAGCAACCAACACAGGCGTGAGTTTGATACCCCCAGGCAAAATAACCTGCCCCGGGATGCCGCCAGCACCAGCCATGTGGAAAGCAAAGGATGGATCTGCTTACCTTGACTCCTCACAAAGGCATTGTCCCTATCCACACCCTATTAAAAATCCCATTTTGTGCCTGACAACACCCTGTTGATTACTTTTGGGTTGGTCTGTGCTAAAACAATCCTCTGTAAATATACCTAATGCCAGAAAACGGGGTGACACTTCAAGAAACAGTGAGATCCGGTCTGCAGGAGACAGACGTGAGTGAAACACCACAGAAAGATTTTCTCAGTAAGGTTTCCATGTAGTGCCATCAGACAGGGCGAGGACAACCCGATACAGAGAGGGGAGAGGAGACAAAACCGTGACTTTAGCCACAACCAGGGGGTGAAACCCTTGAGGATAGAGAATAAATGGAGACGGGGGGGTTTACAGAAAGGCTGCCGGGTGCTGAGCCAGGCTCCCACAGCCCTACCCCGGCCACCAGGAGAGCAGCACACCGGCCTTACCTTCGATGGGGATGACGGAGGGCTCCTTGATGGAGGGCGAGATGGCCCGCTTCTCCGCCACCGCCGCCTCCGCCAGGCGGCCCAGGGCGCTGAGGGGCGGCGTGGAGGCCAATTTGGGCCTCTTGGCCAAGCCGCCCAGCCCGGGGGGCCCGGCCAGAGCCGCGGCCGCGTCCCTCTTGCGCTCGGAGGGCAGCCCGGCGGGGGCCGGCTTCAGCAGCGAGCCGGAGGCTTTGCCCTCGCCGCCCTGCCCCTTGGAGCCCAGCGCGATGAAGTCTCCGGGCGGCGGGTGCGCTGCAAAAGAGGCACGGCCGTGAGCTGAGCTGAGCTGAGCTGAGGCGAGGGCAGCTCCACAGACACCCCCCCGCCGCCCCCCGGTACTCACCCGAGGGTTTGGGCACGGCCCCCGGCCGCCGCACGGCCGCCGCCTTCGGGCGGTTCATGGCGGAGCCGCTGCCGCTGCCTCAGCCCCGCTCCGGCCGCCGCGGCGCTGAGGCGGCCCCGGGGGAAGCGGGCGGAGCGCGGCGGAACCAGAGAGAGGAGGAGGAGGAGGAAGAGGGAGGAGGGCACACAGCGCCCCCGGGGGGAGCGGGGGGGAATCGGGGTGTGGGGGATATGGGGGAATATAGGGGAAATGGGGGAATATGGGGGTGTGGAGGAAATGGGGGGAAATGGGAGTGTGTGGGGGGGAGAGACGGGTTGGGGATGAGGGGGATTGGGGGATGAGGGGCTGGGATTGGGGGGACATTGTGGGGACATTACGGGGAACATTATGAAGAAACATCATGGGAGGACATTATGGGGGGACACATTGCAGGGGACATCATGTGGGGCATTATGGGGGACATGGGGGGACATCATTTGGGGACATTATGGGGGGAGACATTATGGGGGGCATTATGGAGACACCACGGGGAGACATTATGTGGGCACGTTGTGGAGGGACATCATGGGGGGACTTCATAGGGGGACATTTTGGGGGGACATGATGCGGGGACACCATGGTGGGACATTATCAGCATTGGCAGCGGGGTCTGGGTGGCTGAGTTCTGTCTGTGGTCACCCCCCACACACCCCCAGCCCCACATCACAGCCCCACACCAAGCTCTCCTCACTCCTTTATTGCAGACAGGGCCGCCAGCCCTCACCCCGTACCACCAGCACGGTGTGGGGACACCCAGAAGCCACCCCCCACCATGTCCCCATCCCAGTGTCCCCATCCCCATCCACAGCAGGTGACAGTCCCCAGTGCCTCCACACGGCGACATCCACATCCCATCCCCGCCTCGGGACCATGGCCACAGACGGGTGGTCTCGGCGGGGTCGGGCAGCTCCAGGCCCCCCATCACAGCCACTGCAGGGAGAAGGCCTGGCCCAGCCCCATGCCCAGCCCGCTCACCGTGAGGACCTGCAGGACAAGAGGTGACATCCTGGGATAGCAGCAAGACAGAGCTGCCCTCACCGCCCCAAAAACCCTCCCTGAGCAGCACCCTCAGCCCCCTGCCAGGGCTGGGGACACCCCTTCAGGACAGGGCACCCCAAATGGGGCCGCACCTGGTTGTCCAGGTAGGAGAAGGGCTTCTCCTGGCCGTTCAGGAGGACCTTGTGGGGTGGCTCCCGCACCCCGTAGATGCTCAGGGTGCCGATGGTGGTGGAGGTGGCTTCAGTGCTGGTGTGGAGGACTCTGGAGGTGAAGATGTTCTGCAGGAGGGGACAACATGAGCATGAGGTGGCCAGATGGGGGACATTATGGGGTCCCCATGCCCCATCCCCACCATGTCCCACCTCCGTGGCATTGAACACCAGGTAGGAGTAGCTGCCCCGCTCGAAGGTGTCCAGGCTCTCGCCATCATCCCAGAAGAGGTCCCCCCAGGCGGTGGCACCCGGGGACAGGGCGACGATGAGGCGCAGGGGGTTCCCTCGGCTGGCCTCGCTGGTGGGCCCGGGTTTCTGGGGTTCAAACACATGGGCACTGTAGGGTTTTGACAGCCCAAAATAGGGTGGGGAGGGCTGTGACCTGCACGGGGACTGCGACTTGAGGTACTGAGGGGCACATGCCATGCAGGAGGTGTCTCCTTGGGGACAGTCCCCAGCCCGGGGAGGTGGTGGGTGGGAGCTCACCTGGGTGGGCACGATGGAGCCCTCGCGGAGATGCAGGTTGAGGTGCTCCAGGGGGGCCGACAGCTTCAGCATCTCCCCACTGCTGTTCACGGAGGAGCCCTGGGCAGGTGGGAGAGCCAAGGGGGGTCAGGGACACTGTGGGGGCTCAGGAAAAGTACCAGGGAGCAGCCACTTTGGCACCAAGCCCCATGGCCAGCACTGACACCGCAATGCTCCAACCCTTCTGCAGGCCTTCCCTGCTGAGCAGGGACCACCCAAAACCCAACCAAGCGCCGTGGCGGCACTCCTCACCGTGTAGAAGTCGTACCACACGCCTCGGGGGAAATAGCCCATCACCGAGTCTACCCCAGGCTCCAGCACCGGTGTCACCAGCAGGCTGCGGCCCCACAGGAACTGCCTGTCCAGCCCGTACGTGGCCGTGTCCCGGGGGAACCTGCAGTGGGACGGAGACAACGCTCGCATCGGCTGCTATCCGCCATCCAGGTGAATCCAGCACCTCGCCAGCTCCGTCGGGGATGCTCTTACTCAAAGAACAAGGGCCGGGCGACAGTGTCCCCGTGCACGTGGGCACGGTGGAAAAGCGTGTAGAGGAAGGGCAGGAGGGAGTAGCGGGTCAGCAGCACGTCCTTCATAGCCGTCCTCGCCGCGGGGCTGAACACCGTCGGGTCCTGGGCCTGGGGGAGATGCGGGGAATCAGCGACTGCCCCAGCCCCAGCCCTGCCAGGCATCCCCCATCCCGTACTCCACATTCCAAATCCCGCATCCCGCCCGAGACCTTCTCATTCTGGGAGTTGTGGTTGCGGGAGAAGGGGTAGAAGGCCCCGAGCTGCATCCAGCGGGTGCACAGCTCCTCCGAGGTGCTGCCGGAGAAGCCACAGATGTCGGCCCCCACCAGCGGGATCCCGAAGAGGCTGAAGCTCAGCATCCCTGTGGACACATGGGCAGGGATGCTCGGCAATATGCTGGGAGTTTTGGGGTCTGCACCACCTCCCAAATGCGGGATGGGGTGGTGCTGGGGGTCTGTGCATGCTGCGGGGAAGGACAGGGCTGTGAGGCCGTGCCACCCACCCGGGATGGAGTAGTACATGTCCTTCCACTGGCTGCGGTTGTCACCCAGCCAGTGCCCCGAGTACCGGCCCTGGCTGGGGAAGGTGGAGCGGGAGATGACGAAGGGGCGCTTCCCCCGGATCTGGATCAAGGCACTGGAAGGCAACGGGGAGACATGGGACAGGAGGTGAGAGCAGCCCCCTTATCCCTCAGAGGTCAAGGGACAGCTCTGGGGGTACAAGCAGCACGGTCCCCCTCTCCCTGGGCTCAACACCAGGACCAGCATCACCCACCCAGCCCTCCCCACAGCCACGCACACTCCCCTGCCCTACTGGGTTACTCCTGTACCCGAGGCTGTGAGCAGCCAGAGCACCTCCTTTTGGGCCAGGCCCTCAAACCCCAGTCCTTTTCCTACACCGTGCCAGCCCCAAGCAGCAGGATTTCACCCCGTCCCATCCCCAGGGTGCTTGGGTACCTCGCCGTCGCTTCGGCCTCCATCAGCCCGTAGAGGTTGTGCAGGTTGTAGTGCACCGAGGCGCTCTGCTTCGCCGAGGCACACACCGTCTTGGCAGACAGGGAATCGCCCAGCACGGCTGCCGGGAGGGACAGTCACCGTTGGCACGTGGTGGGGGGCGTGGGGACACGCAGCCCCCCGTGCTGAACGAGGTGCCCTGCTGCTGGTGCAAACTGAGCGCTGAAAGCTCCCACGGCCAGTCCCATCCCCGGTACAGCCACAAGCATGCAGTGCTCGGGTACCAGCACACGGAAGCAGGGATGGAAATGTTCGGGGGTTGAAACGGAGATGTGATGTCTCTTAAAAATGGTTTTCACTTGGTTTTCAGCGACTTGAGAGCGCGCGGTACCTACCAGCACAGCCTGCATTTCAGCGCCCTCCTTACCCGGCGTGTACGGGGGGCTGTCGAGCTCTCCCGGCGGGCAGCCCTCCTCAGACCCATCCATGAAGTTGGACGGCTCGTTCATGTCCTAAGCAAAGAAAATCATGGAGCACTTTGTACGGGGAGTTTTTAAGGATCAGCACTAAAATCCAGGGGGTTGGGGCTTCCTCCCACACCAGAAGCACCATCAGCAGCACTGAGCCCCTTTTCCCAGGCGTGCACACCAGTGAGCACGTCTGTGGGGCTGGTGTCTTGCCAGCCCCCAATGCTTGCTAAATACAATAAAGCTGGAAAACCATTGAAAGAGGGACAGACGAAGCTCCAGGACTGGGCACTGTCCAACAGGGAGCCACCTGGGGTGAGGGGGCACTTACGATCCAGACGCCGTCAAAGGGCACATGGGCATGGAAGCGCTGCAGGTTCTCCAGCCACCACCGGCGCGTGTCCACGTTGGAGAAGTCGGCAAAGGCCGTGTAGCCGGGCCAGACCTATGGTGAAGGAGCAGAGCAGAGGGTTGAGCAGAGGGGGAACACTGCGGGGAAGGGGGTGTCAGGGGGCTGTGAGCACGCTGAAGGAGCAGGGACAATAAAACCAATGAGAAAATCCAAGCTGATTGCTTTGAGCGCTGGAGGCTGTGTGCGCAGCATCCCCCTGGGCACCTCAGGGTGCTTTTTCTCCCTGTTTTTAGACTAACGAAAGTTACAGGTGGTGAGGAGGCGTGAGTGGCTGGGAAGGAGGGGATAAACTGGGAAGGAACCGCTGCGGGTCCTGAGCAGATCTGGAGGCACAACCTTGCCTCACCCCAAAAACAGGAAGGGAGAGAAATCAGATGACCGGCCTCAGGCAGAACCACCGACTCCGTTGCACTCATATGACTTCCCCGGGTGCCTCTGCCAGGGCAGGAGCTGGCTCCAGAGGGTAGTGGGGATGCCATGAAGTGAAACACAGAGAGCTGGGAGAGCTGAGAGCACAGCCAGGCTCTGGCCATCAGCCACATGGCTTTTCCTGCAGCAGGAGGGAAGAAATCCTGGCCCTGCTCCTGCAAAACCCCTCCAGGGCCGCGATTTCCCCCAGTTCCTTACCTGCCCGATCAGCGGCTGCCCTTGGGTGGTGTTTATGAACAAACCCCGTCTCAAACCTTCATCGAAAGGCCAGTAGGAGCCCCGCGGGCTGGTGCTGCTGATGCCGGGGTCCTGGGGATGCAGCAGAGGGTTAGTGTCTTTCCCAGCACGGCCCCTTCCCCCTGCGATGCCAGCGTGATTCAGAGGAGAAGACAACCACCACGGGGTCAGCCAGAGCCCGCACACGGCGGCTGTTTTGACCAAGAGGAACAGAAACTTGCTTCAACGCTTCCAGGCATGTTTTCTAACAAGTCACTTCTGCAAGTCCCAAGGACCCGTTACAGGGTTTGGGGGAGCGGGGGGATAAATATAAGTCATCATGCGCTTATGCAAGAAACATCAGGTCACGGAGAGGCTGCG